AAGAATTCTTAAAGAAAGAAGTGGATTTAGACCTTTCAACACTGCCAGACTTTGAAGAGCGGGTCATAGATTTCTCTGAAGTTGAACAACTAATGAACTCCATTAATACTATTCCAGGTACTCTTCCTATCTGATCATTATTTCAGACCTATTTACATTTAATTAAGGATATGTATTAAACAGAAGTCCATTACTCCTTTTAAAGGAGAACTGCAAAAGCAGAATTAGCTTCTCCCTAGCTTTCCCTCTAGATTTTTTTGTTTGCCTGTATATTCAGAGACGTTGGAAGCTCTTTTTGGATTTTTTTTTTTTTTTAATTTGTTTTCAGTATGAGATTACCAGAACTGCCAAGTTTGGTCTTCCCTGCTTTTGCTGAGTGATTTCCTAAGAAGACTTCTGTTGAGGGGTCAGGCATGCTTAACTGGTGATAACTTGTCTTACCTTGTAGTTGCTTGAACAAGGTAGAGAGGGACACCAGACTGCTTTAAACAACCTGCACAGCTTCTCTTGATAACCAGATTTCAGTGGCTTGTTCCTCTGATGTTTAGCAAACTTTTTTTCTTATTTTCCACAGGAAACAGAGCAAAACCCAAAGAAATTTCTAATAATTAAAAAAATAAAAAGATTTTAAATCTTTTCTGGCATACCACAAATGGTCAGAAAGAACAATATGCATTTTTTTATGCCCATACATTGTCTTTTCTTGAAGTAAAATAGCATTTGCTATTTGTTTGCCTGTGCTGCTGACCCCATGTTATACAGTTTTTCCCTCATCTTTCCTCCAGAGGCTCCTCAGCCCCTGGGTTGGTCCACAGCAGTTCAGTGCGTGTCAGAAGTTGCTCTGCAGAGCCGTACTGGCTCACAGGGGAACAGCAGTCCTCAGGGGCAGGGGAGGTCAAGTTTACAGAGAAGGTTAGGCTGAGGCTTATTTATGTGTTGTTTTGTTTTGATTTTGATTTGAAGCAAACTAGTTCATATACCAGTGACCTGATTATTATCTGCAACTCTTTACAGGGTCAGCTTCTCACTTTTCTCCATGTGGGAGGAATATGACTCTATTCAATGCCTAGGCTTTGTGCAAACACCTTTGTGAGAGGAGAGGTGTTTGCCTATGAACAATGTACCATGCTTATACACTAAAAACCTGACCTGTTTTCCCCTCTCCAGCTCCTTGTGCCCCTGTGATCAATCCCCAGGCTCCCAATGCAGCGACTGGCACCTCACTAAGAGTTTGCTGGGGCCTTTTCTCAGATGACACTGTTGAGTGCTACCAACTGTGCTATAAACCAGTGAGCAATGAGAGACACAGTGATGAACAAGCAGGTAAGGAAGCCTGGACCCAAGGGGACACCTCAGCCCTCCATTGGCAAAACCAGCTGGTTCCAAAGTGCCTCTGGACTTGCTGTGGCAACCACTGCACTTTCTGTGCACTCTTTCTGCCACCAAAAATGTCATATCTGCCACCACATTTCATGCTTCTGGCTTTGTCACTCTTCCCTTAACAGGTCTGCCATGCTGCCAGCTGCAGCAGGACCCATCACAGGAGCAAAGACAGGATGGGGCAGCAGCTGGGATAGCAGGAGTGGGAAGAGGACAGTGGATGGAGCCAGGTCTCAACAGTAGCATTTCCTTTCCTGGAGGGTGGGCACTGCGTTAGACACACATGTGCTGCATCGACTGCAAAGCACAGTATTTCTAGAGAGCAAATCATGTTATCGGCATGCCCACTGTAACCCTCACAGTTACTTTGCAGTCTATCTCAGTGCTAATAATAGGCTGTACCTCCCCATCACCCACACGCACAAAAAAAGAACCACAGAACCATCCTGAAATGTCCCAGCCTTGCGACAGAACTGCCTTTGCTAGTAATATTCTTGCAGAACATTTTGCTGAAAACACCCAGTCACTTCCCAGCAAAAGGAGAAACCGGTACAGTGCCAAAGTTCAGAAAGAAAAACAGAACCCATCCAAATTTTATAAGATGAAGAATGAGAAATGAGTAGGGAAATAGCTTCGTCTCTTGTCCCACTGCTGAGATGAGCTGACCAGACAGCATGCCTGGAGTGGGAACATGCAGGGTCTTTTTAGAAAAAATTCAGTGACAAGTAGGTGACCTTTCCTTCTGTTTCTTTTTCTTCTGAGTGATGTGGCCCCTTCAGAAGCTGATGCGTTATCTGATTTATGCCTCCTTAGAGGAAGGCATGGTGAAACAACCTGACAGTTAATCAAAGGATGTGGAGCACAAGGAGCTCTCTGGAACTCGGCACACAAAACAATGCACCTCAACTCCATTATTTGAGGCAGCTTTGGGGGACGAGTGAGTAACTGTGTAAAGGCACTGTAAATGCTTTGTTGTTTTCATTTCAGAGCATACGCTAAAAGTCAAAGAAACATACTGCACCATTACTAATCTGTTGCCGAATACACAGTATGAATTTTGGGTCAGTGCTTTAAATGCCTCTGGTATCAGTCCACCAAGTGAAAGAGCAGTTTATGTAACAGGTAAAAATATTTTATTCATACAACTATGTGACCTTCATAGTAAAATTCACCGTCATCTCTGAGCTTTATGCCAGTAACGCTTTCTGGGCACTTTATTTCTTCTGATGTAAGTCTACTGACTGCAAGGGGATTTCCTACTTTTATTTGGAGAGTGTGTCACACCAATTGTCCCTGTTTTAGAGTTGAAGAAACAGAAGCATAGAGACAAAATAACTTATTTAAATGCAAGCATGTAGAAGAGCTGGAAATAAGGCTCAAGTCTCCCAGTTCTGCCAGGTGGATGCCAGCCCGCCTTTTATTGGCCTGTAGGTATTTTGTGGATTCACCTGTTCTGCTGCCCTTTGTAACTGCAGTTCAGTCAAGTGCATTTTGTGAAATCCTGACATCAAATTGAGCAAGTTAGAGTGAGACCTTCAAGTACTTGTTCCAGATGTCTTTGACATCTTTGAGCAGAGAAGAGATGCACCTTTGTGACAAAGATAAAACCAATGATAGAAAATGGTTGTGTAGTAAGTCTCTATGTTACTTCTCTGATTAATCCTCTTGGGATCTTTATAGTCCAAATTAAGTCTTTGAATAGTACTGTTAATTGCCTTGCCTGCTGTTTATGGTCCATTGGGGAAGCAGGTCTCTCTAATTATATAGTATTAGTAAACAACTTTGTTCTATTTTTCAAGTCTTCAAAGCATGTTTGTTGCAAACATTTTCAAGTAACAGCTTAGAATTGTTCTTTTGCCTACTTTTTAGCTCCTTCACCACCTACCATAAAGAGTAAAAAGATCCGAAGCTGTGAAAATGCAGCACTGGTGTGCTGGGAATCTAGAGACATTAACCCTGTTGATTCCTACATGGTTGAATTGTCCAAGCTGACAGATGAAGAAAATGGTGATATTATTACTGAGTAAGTCACTATTCTATCAAGTCCCATGACCTGTAGAGATGAAACCATTTTAAGTCACGTGGCATCAGATAGCGCTAAGAAAGGACCCATGACCCTTTGGTGAATTCACTTTTATAAACATTCCTCTTAGTAAAATTAATTGTATTAATGTTAGTAAAAAATCACGATGCAGGGTATGGGAAAAGGGCAGAAGCAAATGTAAAAATCTGCATAGTCTATCACAGACTATCTCTTGCCCCCACAACTGACAACAGTACAAGGTAAAGTGTTGTTGATGGGCTACAAGAGGAGCTGATCATGTAATTTCTTCTTTGTTGTTCAGAAAAATAATCTCAAAGGCCTACTTTTGTCCTCTACCCTATCATTTTCCATGGATTTATTTTCTGTAGATCTATTGTTGGGATTCCTAACTGTGAAGTCCTAATTCACCTCCAGCCAACACAAAGCTATCGCATCTGTGTTAGAGCCCTGAATCTGGGTGGTTCCAGTGAAAGAAGTGAACCTGTCCTGATACACACCACAGGTACTGTACAGCTTGGAACAACTCCAGCAGCCTATTGTAGCATATATTATCTCAAGAGAAGGATTCCTGCTTGTTTCAATGGCCTCTGGATCAGGTCCTAATCTCTTACATCTAATTACACACCTGGTAATCTTTCAGGAATGAAAAAAACCACTTTTTGTAACAATAAGTGCATTGCTTTAGCTCTGTTATTTAAAATTATTTCTGTCCAGTACATTTGATACTTGAAAGTTACTAATTTCTAAACATTTTAAAAGACAATATCAACTCAATGCTCCCAGATGTTGCCAGCTTGCCAAGTACTGACACACTAACGAAGAAAAGTTGTAGTGGGACTTCATTTTACTTCAGAGATTACCTTGTAATGATGCTGATGCTGCTGGAAAATATGTCTGAGACAGTCAGTCAGCACTTTCCAGAGTCATTTTCATAGGCAAAATCTTCCATTGTATATATTAGAACATCTCCATCTTGGCTGGGGCAGCTCTGACGGCTGGTTCCCTTTTTCACCAGGAAAAAGGCAGTCCAGCTTTCAGCTGGAAGCTTTGCTTCTGGTAACTGACATAGCATTATCATCTCTGCTCTCAGTGCCACACTGGGCAAGGATTAACCTTCTCCCCCAAAGGGAAGTTAGAAGCCCCTTCCCCTCCCAACCATCTAGTCAAAGCTTGGTTTAATGACTTACAGGTAGACAGCTGCTTTCATCTTCACCACTGCTGTAATGATGCTGCAACTTCACTGGGGTGTCTCAAACCTCACACATCACTCACAGATGCCATCACACCTTAGCCGTGTCTCTTCTGCCCTTACCTTCTGTGAGAGGTTTGCAATTTGTGCATATTCAGGAAGCTGACCACACATCCGCTAACCTGTGAAAGGCTACGTTTCAGTAAGAGACCTGTCTGCTACACATCAGTGACACCACAGAAAAGAAATGGTCATTCTTAAATCCCTGGAGAGGAAGACTGTCATTGTGTTACCATTGTTTGTGTGTGTTTCAACTACTTAAATCAAACTCAGTATTTGAAATTGCCAATTCTGCTTGCACAGTATGTTTGTTTTCAGCAGCACATGCCTGTAATTGCCCTGTCATTGTATTGTATTTGCATTGAAGTAACTTGCAGTTTGATCATAATGATTTCATTTGGGATTAGCATGGAGAGATTTATCTTCTCTGAGTCTACATTATGCAAGCAGCTGATGCAAATTGATCTGTCAGCTGCAAGCGCTCACCTCCAACACTGGGAATGACCTTTGATTCTTCCTGAGGTAGATACACAGACACCAACTACAAACAGCAGCTGTGACGCATGTGGCTGCACATCAGAGCGCAGCACATCAGACCAGCTTTGTGAAGTCTCTGAAGGGAGAAGGGCAGAAGTACTTTTACCCTGGGCTGGCTTAGCTGACTTACCTCTCTGAGGACTGATCTGATGAGAAGGTGCTGAAGCATAAGGGATGCTGCATGTGGCACCTTTGTAGAGGTTCCTTCTCTTTAAACTGTCTCCAACATGTATGTGGAAGAGTGAGGCCATGGAGAGGCCTTTAAGCCCCCCTTCTCCTTTCAGCGATTAAAAATAGATCACTTCAGCTCAGAGGAAGATGACTTGAAACCGGACAATCCATTGCAGGGAGGACCCCTCATCTTTGAATAGCTACTTCCTGTGCAGTGCCTGCATCTTTGAACCCTGGCTGGGTTCAAAACCAGGTTAAGGCCCCTTTTCTGCATTTCACAAGGCTGTAACTAAACAGTGTTAAACTGTAAAACACCTATTTGTTTGAAAAACTCCAAACGGACAACCTTGTCCTCTCAACGTCAGCCACAGACTCCTTCCAGAGCACTGGTTAATCTTTTTGTAGATCCAAATATTTCACCACACCCTTGCTGCAAACCCTAATGCCATAAGGAGTTGCTGGAGTTATCCTCAGACATCCTGTCTTGCAGGCACCTACTTCTGCCTTAACGAGGACACAGCCCATCCTTTACTTGCGATTCTAGATGATGGATTTACAATTGCATGCGATGAACTGGAAAACCCAGACTGTGATCTGCCCATCTATGATAACAGCTTTACAAGGTACGCAAAAGAATTTTGGTTACAAATAATGCATGTGTTTTGTGGCTGCTTCACTCACAACACACACCTACCTTGAATTTAAATCCACTAAAAAGTTTTGTATTGCAGCTTTCCTCACCTTCAAGCCAGGCACCAACCAAGTAAAACTTCCAGACTGTATGTGTGTGTATAGTGGTTTTTTCCACCTTGGTTTTTGCATAATTGACTAGGGTTGTCTTCAGTTTTAGACAACTGCAAACAACTTTGTTGGTCCTTTTAAAATATGGATTATTCATCTTTTAGAAAATCAGATTTATTTTAAGGTGTTTCAAGTTGGGCTCCTAAGATAACTATTCAGTTTGAAATGGTAGGCTTTCCTCAGTTTCTTGGAGAGTAAAATTCCATATCCATTTATCCAGGCCCCATAATTTCACTGAGGTTATCGTTCCTGAGCACCATTACTGAACTCCCTGTGGCTTGCTGCTCTTTTCAGTGAATTTCTAGGGTGACTAATACATATTATTTACAACATCTCCCTTTGTATGATGTGTACACTGACTTCTATTAAATTCCAAAACTTTCTTCCCATTTAATTCTTTACACAGCTCAAAACCCCCAGAAAAATGTCACCAAAAAACCCCAAAAAAATCAAACCCCATATACTCTTAATACAGCACCGGATTTAAAAAAAAACAAACATAATTATTAGGTTCTCTTTTAATTACAGTGATCCAGCACTTGCACACTTCCAAGACTTGAGGAGCTGCTCCTCTCTGCTGGCTGTTGCTCCCTCTCTCCCACCCCTTCCTCTACAATCTGCCAAGGTGATAGAGCTTTGCGCATAATGTGCAGGAGGCTTTGCCCATCCTTCCTTGGTGTTGGTTTCACTCGTGGAGATTTGGGGGCTGGTTTTATATAGCTCTGCCCAATGGAAACCACCAAACACTCATTTTATGTAAAACTTGTTCACTACAGCAAATACTACAGAATGAGCAAAAAACCCTGTTGGTGCTTTGGACACCTGACCCTCTTCTTTAAGAGAAGCTTGTGTAGTTCAAAGCCCAGCTGGTCTGTTTCTTGTTTTGTTTTGTTTTTTTTTTAATAGATGCCGGGAAGTGTCTAATGAGGCTTTCAACAGCTTTCATTGATTTTGTGAGTTTAAATCTCTCTCTCTCTAGCTGCTCTTTGGAACTTAAGCATCACTTGGAAGGTAATGCAAGTTCATAAAGAGGATTACAGATGCAGCCAGCCACAGTTACGTACAAACCTGCTTACACATCTTGGGCACCTTGAGCTAAATTTAAACAGGTATTTAAGTGGCAAAGTAAATGCTAAGGAAAGGAGAGGGATCTGAATACTTATCTCTTGTCAAAAGATCTAGCTGATACTATTTGGGCCTACAGATTTTACTTTCAAAACAGAATTAGGCCCTTTGCCATTGAAATGAGAGACTTAGCTTGCCGAAATGGATGTTTCCAGTCAGAACCATGGAAACAACATATAATCAGGACAGGCATCTGCAGACACAGAATAATACAAGCCCACAACGTAGTCCCTCCATGGAAATGCAATGTTAGTAGAGGGCTCGTTAGAAAAGAGACAGGAGATAGAAGATTCTCTTCATTAAAGCCATCATGATAAGCCTAAATGGGATTTCATCCCACTTCCACAGGGTGCTTTTATGTTTCACATAAACAGCCAGAGCTGGCACTCATCTCATTCTGAACTCTGAGGCTGAGTTTTTGATGCCACTGTGAACTCTTGGAAGCCTCTTTCATGCCAAGATACTGGGGCAGGAGAGGAGCTCCCAAGCTGAAATGACTAACAGTCATACTACAAGGAAATTACAGAATCACAGAATCACTAAGGTT